CACAATTCGTTACTTCATTCACTTCTAACAACTGATGTTAATGCCACCAGTTACGAAGCAGGTTCTGGGACTTGTACCAAGACTCTCAAGTCTGCTGGGGCAACGAAGAGTTCCTAAGGCAGACATTAAGCAAGAGGTAAAGGGGAGGTTTGGTGAAGGCAGAGCTGTAGGAAGGGGAACCAGATGTCAAGGAACTGGAAAACAAGTGACATCGGTGGGGGAGTGGTCTGTCAAGGACCGGGGTGACAATCCCAGTGAGTCACCGAAACCCAGGAAACTCAATGGTGGGGCTCAAAGGTGGAACCCAGCAGCCTGACTGCGAAGCTGCTACACAAATCCAGATGTGAAACAGAGGGACAGAGAGGATGGAGCAGGTGGGTGCCTGTAAGCAGTAGAACCCGGAGACAGCCATTGTTAAGGAGAAAGGGGTTCTGGGGCCACGGGAGCACACGTGGAAGATGGGGTGGGATGGGCAGGCACGGGCAAACTGCAGATGCGATGCTGTGAGGTTAAAGTATGCGGGGGACATCCGGGCAGACACAGCAGTCTAGGGGATACATGATACCTGTGACCACTGCTCTACCAGCAGGCTGGAAATACAGCCTGTTCCGTTACAGAAGGTGTGCACTAATCAACAGTGGGCCAAAGCCTTCGTGCAGAGTTGGACACAGTGGAAGGACACTGAGTCAAGAACAATTTTAGAAGGTCCCGCCTCTCTCCCTGGAACTTTTTGACCCCCATCACCAATCTGATGTGTCCCCTAAATCCACCTATGTAATCCCTACATGACAGCCAGCAGCAGCCTGTGGCTACTGATCCCCCCCGCCCCCGCCAAAGTATGCTGTGTTAAGTCGAAAACAGAAATTAGATTTAGTATTTAGACTTAGAAAAAACAGGCAAGGAAATGTGTCAATTTTCATACTGGTCACATATTAAAAGGACATTTTGGATATGTTGGCATAGATTAAAATATTGTTAAAAAATTAATTTCATCTGCTTTGCTTTTTTAACATGGCTACTATAAAATGTAAAATCTCCCATGTGGATCACATTTGATCCTAGGGAGTTTTGCTGTCCTAGCATTCCCCAGTAAACACTAACGCAGCTCTTACGGATGCCATGCCTGTCGGCACATGGACACACTAGAAGAGAGGCTCCTCCCACAGAAGTGAGACCTGTGTGGTTGATAAATTGTGCACCCCAATAAACTTATCTGGGGGTCAGAGAACAGAACAGCCACTAGATTACACATAGAGGATAGGCAGTGGTAGCACATGCCTTTAATCCTAGCATTCAGGAGGCAGACATCTATCTGGATCTCTGTGAATTCAAGGCCACACTGGGAACAGCCAGGCATGGTGGCACACACCTTTGATTCCAGCACTTGAGATCTCATGTCTTTGCTTGGGAAGGACACATACACCTTTAATCCCAGGAAGTAATATGGCAGGACACAGAAATGTATATAAGGCGTAAGGACCAGGAACTAGAGGCTTTTAAGCATTTCAATTGAGACCCTCGGGGGTGAGGACTCAGAGGCTTTCAGTCTGAGGATTCATGGAAACAGGATCGGCTGAGGAGTTGGCAAGGTGAGGTTGGCTGTGGCTCACTCTGTTTCTCTGATCTTTTAGCTTCCACCCCAATACCTGGCTTGAGGTTTTTTTGTTTATAAGACTGTTTAGCAATTCATCCTACAGACCTGCCTCTCCATGGAGTTCTGGTCTGCTCTCTGTTCCAGTGTGTAAGCATCACTTAAGCTTCTCACCGGCCACACTGACCTCTGCTGTGAGACACACAGAGTGCGTCCCCCGAGTCCATGCTGGGCCCCTTACATCCATGTCTTCTTTTTGTCCTATAGCTTTCTATTAGTCTTTTAGTCTTTTTAGCTAGCACACAGCACATCAGGTTTCACAATGGCGCTCTCGGACGGACCTGTCATCATATTTCACATCTGTCTTCTCTCCTCTCTTAGTCCCCTTCCTCCCTACAAATACACATTTCCTTTTGCTTCTCTTTTTGTTTAAAGACTTATTCTTTTTATTAAAAAAAATTATTACGGGTGTGTGTGTGTGTGTATGTGTGTGTGTGTGTGTGTGTGTGTGTGTGTAAGTGTGTCTGCGTGAGTGTGCTATAGTGCATATGTGGAGGTCAGAGGACAGACATAGGGAGTCAGTTCTCTCCACTCCTTCTCCAGGGGTCCAGGACACTGAAAGCGACATCAGTCAGGCTCCCCAGCCAGCACTGCCGCCCTTCCGCCAGGCACCACATGCTTTTTCAAGTCCTGCTAGAACATCCTCGGACTGCCTGTTGCGTGGACTGGAGAACCAGGGACAGGAAGGGAGCGAGGGTGACGCCGGTGGGCACCACAGTGCACAGGCCATGTTTTGAAGGCTCCGTCAGCCCTGCTAAGAGATGTGGGCTTTATCTTGCAGTTAGCCAGAGGTGTTCTATCTCTTCATTTAAAAATCAACGCAGTTTTATAAAGACCTGAATTTGATTCCAGAACCCACTTAAAAAAAAAAAAAAAAAAAGGCCAGGTGTTAGCCAGGTGTTAGCCAGGTGTGGCAGCAGCTGTCAAAGGAAACCATGTCTCCATCAACTGCAAATCTTTGACTTCTTCAGCTTCCATCTGTCTGCTCTTTAGAGCCCAGCCTTAGGAAAATAGTCCATATCCCTCCACGCCTTTTTTATTACAAGCTCCCACTTACATCAGCTTCCACCCTGTCACCTGGCACAGACAGACCCAGCACTCAATGCCTGGGCTGGCCTCCTCCACCCCTGTGCTCTTCTCCATGACACTCCTGGCCTCCTGGTGAACCCCAGAACTCTCCGGGGAGCTCCAGGCCTTACCCCCAACCAGACAGATACAAATACAGACATCTCTGCCATCAACGACCACACCCTGCCCATCGTTCAGCCCTCCACTACTTGTTCCTCTCCACTCAGCCACCAACGCTCTGCCTCACACCCCAGTAACTCCTGGCCCCTAACTGGATTTCCAGTCATGACCTCCCACCCAGCCACCATGTCTAGGTCCAAAGTTCAATCTGAGTAACTCCACTTTTTTTTTTTTTTTTTTTTCAAATGGAGTTACGCCAACACCTTCTCACACAGAACCTTTCCGTAATGGGAGTTCCCTGGGTGCACTGGTGTTTCCTTATTGGAGACTAGCCTTTCCAAACATGCCTATCTAAAAGTTCTCTGAAGCTGGTTGACAGGTCCAGTCCTCCAGGAAGTCCGGGAAAGCCTCCTGACTTCCTCCTTCCCCTCCCAGGCTGATGTACCACACCCCGACTAGTCCTTGTGTGTAGCCTCTTCCCAGGGTTCACTGTGCAGAGGTCTGCTCTCACTCCACGTTCCTCCGTGTGACCACATCATCCTCACCCCCCATGCTGAAGATGGCTTTTCCGACCATCTCACTTACCCTGACATCTTGGACCCAGCACAAAGCTTGATGCCACACTGTGACCAAAATATAATGCCAAGAGCAGAGCCAAGCCAACACTGACCAACATCTTGACCTGGGGCTGTCAACCCACAGTACTGAAAGCTAAGTAGCTCCCCCCAAAGCCCAGGACTCCACCAGCAAGCCAGGAGCCCCCTTTCTAACATGGTATGCTGGCAACCTGGCTATTTTTATCATAGCTTTTTTTTTTGTAATCATTTTATAAACAAAACCTGCTACTGGGTTCTAATTTGTATGTCTTTGCCTAGTAGTAAGGGTGAACATTTTTCCATGTATTTGACTACTAAATGCATTTTTCCCCTTTGGGGATTTAGCTGCTGATGTGACACAAGCCTTGCTACCCGAGGCTGGTCTTTTAGGAGATGGCTCTGGGGGTTGAATCGGGATTGAGCTGGCCAGGGTCACATGGAGGCTACAGAAAACAGGAAGGACAGAGACAAAGAGGCCAAGGGAAGCCAACCTGGGGACTACCACGGTAGGTGAGCATGCAGGTGGGGGGGTTTGGGGAGTGGGAGGTGGTGCTGCATGCAGGTAAGAGGGTACCCACACCTGCTTTGAGCAAATCCTAGGTTCATAGGTGTGGAGCCATTCCAAGTGATAAGGGAATCTGATAGA